TCTGATATCATTTAGAACCCATCTGATGTCATTTTTAGGTTGAGATGCACGCCGAAAACAACCTCCTAGAATTTTAAAATAGAAGACATTGTTTTCATGGTGATGATCATCGAGCCAGCTTGTAGCATTGAACATGACATGCCATCTTTCGTGCGAATATGTATCGCCATATTCTCTACATCGCTAACACGTAAGACTGAATGCTGTATGTGTGAAATAAAACTAGAAGAAGTCAAGGAGTTAATCATGATTATGATAGTTATAGCTAAGTTTAGCTAGTTATGACTAAACTAATTAGTTATAACTAAATTTATTTAGTCATGAATAAGTTTAACTATAATGTCTATAGTTGACGTAATAATTAGCAGAGTTCTAGAAGATTGGAGTGAGCACTTCTATTTTGTCTTTTACAAAGGTCTAGATTCAAGAGATTAGACTTTTGACTACAAGCTTGGATTTGATTGGTTTGACTAAATGTATAAAAGATGATTGGCTAGATTAAGTCTGAAGTTGACTTAGTGGCCAAGAAGCTTTTAGAAGTTTTAAAGCTTCCAATGACATATCGCCACCTCAACCTTGGATTCCGCAAACTTCTAGAAGTTTTAGGTAGGTCAATGGCATGTCGCCACATATAGTGGGTTAGTCAAACTTACCTAGGAAAAACTAAATAAGATATGAATTACCATTTGTTACTATGGTAAATTCTCAAGTAGTATATATAGAGAAGTAGGGAAGAGATTCTCAAGCAAGTTTGGAGAATTCATGTGTGAGTATTTGTTTCAAGACTCAAGGAGTAAAACTTTTCAGTATCTTGGAGTATCGGCGTGTGTTTGAGTTTGTATGAATTAAGTGATGTATGAAGAGGTTGTGTAATAAGGTATGTGGGTCACGAGTATGAGTGAGAATCCTTGTCTTCTAGAACCATGATGAGCTACCACAAATCCATCTAAGGTAAATCTTAGTGAGAGTCAAACCGGAAGTTGCAGTCATGCTACTCATACACACACACATAAGACACTCAAATCTACCACAACTGAATAACTTCATTCGCAAACACGACAGTACACTTACATACTGTCGAGCCCAACTCACTCGTCTTGAGAATTTAGGTTGACACTTACGGCACTCACTAGTCCCAACGCTACAGGCTCGACTCAAAGAACTGAACTTTCTTCGAGTCGTCGTCGACTCTATACGCTATGCGAATGGTAATCTTAGATCAACGGCTAAATATAGTAAACATGAAAAGACATGACAGTTGTCATACGAAAATGTATCGCCATGCACTCTACATCGCTTACATGCTACTCTCACACACACACACATTAGACACGAGAGCATACACACTCAATGTATCATAACTCGCCTCCCTAGCTGGCGGTCAGATTCTTCAGACTCCCAGGTAGCACTATCTACAACTACATGTTATACACCTTCATGGGTGTGCAAATTAGAAGGCCGGGTGCTATGTTGCCCCATCATTAGTCGCCTATCTGCAATTCATAACATGTGAAGATCAAGCCATCTACCCATTCAAAGTAAATCAAGGACAAATCCATCGTCCAGTCAGAACAACATCGATAAGTGGAGTAAGACATGACATGTGATATATGCTAGAACATCTATCACACACCAACATACGGACCGACTGACTTGCTGACACACATAACATGCACCTCAAATCAGCACTTACTATTGCCGAGCTTTGACCCATAGACCATCCACGTTTTGAAGGTGACATGACGCACAATTGTGCAGATGATCCTTCCAAACAACACCGTCATGATCCTCCAACACGACAACTCTAGAAGATAACACCTTACGCACTTGCAAGATAGTGCGTCCCGTTGTCATATCCAATGTTGTTGATGCAATATGTTGTAGATATACGTAGTTTCCCACATGGAACCTACGAATTGATGGGTTGATAACCTCCTCCCGAGATGGTTGCATACCACAACGTATCTATATGCTGAGCAATCAAAAAATTCTCAAACGCTGTAGGCATAATTCTTCAAGGGAGCTCTGCACGTTGAGAACACAAATCTCATCCACATGCTCGAATCATCGAGGTTCACCATCTCGCTATACTCACAACAAATCGATATCGCGAGGTCTAGATCTCGGCCGTACAAAAGAAAATATGGTGAGAAATAAACCAAGAATGCTTGACGACTGAACCAATATCTTATAATCAATCATGGTAATTTGAATACTCTAATCCCCAAAATGCCCTTTTTGTAAACCATATTTGCGCAATGTTTTCTTCACCGTCTGTACAACACGTTTAGCCAAATCATCCATCTTTGGATGATATCGAGACGTGGTTCGATGATCAATCAGCGCCTTGTCACACAAGACGTGAAGCTTAGCTTTAATGTCTGCATCCTGATCAATCAACACCTCAGCTGGTGCACAAAAATGACTAAGCATCATGTCAAGCAAGACATATGATGTTTTCTCACTTGTTTTGTCAAGTAATGTCATCAACTCAATCCACCAGGAAATATGCTCTATCATGACCAACACATAGCAATGATGTCAAGCTAATGGTCCAACAAAGTCCAAACTCTAATGATTATCCAATCCCATGATAGGCAATGGATGTAACTCTAATTTTGGAGCATTGAACAATGTCCTCATTTGATCACAAATCCTGCAACGTGATACCAACAACTATACATGAGTATGCATACCATGTCACCAATATTGACCAAGGAGTAAGTTGTATGTACGCTTCACTCCAAAATGTCCCAACTTCTCATGAGCATATCGCACGATGCGCACTCTCTGAACTAGACGAGGTACTACTCGTATCCTACCGTCCTCCCACAGTCAAAGAAATATATGATCCCTCCAATCGTTATCTCTTGCCCGCTGGAGAACACGATCTCGCTCTTTGGCATATATTGTGCATGGCACCATACTGATTCGTAAGAATTCCAATACTAAGGCATCATTGTGAATATCACGCTGATCTGTAGCACCATCTTCAACCTCATGATCTGACGATTGATCATCCACTCTTTGATTAGAGTAAGATGTCAAGTGGTCCTTCCTACTAGAGTGTCCACGCAACAAACACATGAAGGCAGATGCATGCCAATGAAGCACCATCTCCTCATCAACCTCACCATGCCATCTAGCTCTAGTGTCATCCTTTTGGCTAGTGCATGAGTTTCGACTCAAACCATCGGAATTTAGGTTTGCAACTCCAGGTTTATGCACCACCTGGAAGTCATACTCATGTAAAATGAAAGCCCCCCGTTCAAACTTTCATGTGAGCTTTTCGAACTCCATCAACCACTTGGACGGCTGGTGATCGGATGACAAGAGTAAACTGCGTACCAAACAAGTAACATCTGAAGTGTGTCACGGTCCACACTACAGTCAAACACTCTCCCTTGTATGAACTATACCGCAACTCCATTGCATTGTTCGAACGACTAGTATACGTAATCTCAAATTTCTTACCCTCATCATAACGTTGCGTCAACATCGCTCCAAATCCCAACATATTCTAATCAATGTGCAACTGGTATGGACGACCTTCAATGGGTATTCTCAAGATGGAAGTGGCCATCAACATGATCTTGAGCTCAACAAGATTTCTATCATGTTCATCTTTTCATTACCATTGATGATCTGACTTCAGCAACTGGTTCAAAGGTTTGGCTATTACGCTAAACCCCCTCACAAATTTCCGGTAGTAGTTTGCCAAACCCATGAATGTATGAAATCTATTCATATCCGTTGGACGGGAGATGCATGCAATAGCCTCCACCTTTGTTTGCTGAAATCCCAAACCACATGGGTAGATCACATGAATGAGTTATACCTTATTCATGTCTGGTTGGCGTTGATCTTCGTACAATGGTGTTTTCCATCTAGCCAATAAAAGCGTGAGAAAAGTGCAGAGTGATTACTTCAAATTGAGAGTAAATGATGAATAGCGAAAGTGAGTGTGATTAACTGCTCCCTACAAAAAAACTCTTTTGTGCACATGATCATTCGGTGGCTACTATATCACTTCTTCTTGTCACGTATCAAACTTCTCTTTGGTGGAGAAATAAGCAATAACAACTAACATCTGAAGTGATTTCGGATTGGCTCCTCGTTTACGGTTTAAGGATGTGCTTTGAGGTCTCATCAGTGATGAGTCATCACTGTTATGAGACTAGATAAAGGGGACATTTAAAGAGTAGTACGAGGTGACTGTACGAGTCACCTGATAAGACTCTTAAGATGATCAACCTGGAACGTGACTGTACGAGTCACGTTCAAATAGTTATATCTTCATTAATAGATAGGTTCTAATCTCTTCTCTGAATTTAAGACCTGTAAATCATAAGCACAATAATTGCAAGGGGTGATGTGCAAAGTGATGCCGGGCCACCGTGGAAGATGGAATATTTATGCATAAGGTTCCGTGTCTTAGACGGATTCGTTTCAACGCAAAGTTGGCGACACCAGGCCGTCTGACGGAAGCTGTTCCCAATCCTTCCACCTCCCCTCCCTCGCTGCCTTGATGTCAAAGGCACAGAGGAGAAGGCCGGAGAAGTAGAAGCGTGACTGGGTACGTAAGGAACCGGAGAAATACAGCGTTCCAGCGACGACGGACGGGAGTTATAAAGAGCCGCGGATGGGATTGTCAGCGAGCTGGGGAGGCTCGGGAGCCGACCGACCGACGGTCAAAGCACGAAATCCAGAGGGCCGGCCGTATGGACAGCACGGCAGGCGACCTTGGGGGCGCCACGCTGACCTCACAAGCCTGTCGCTCTGGCCGGTGCTGACAGCGCGGAGCCAATGAGGCGTCGGCGGGCAGCCCAACGGGCCAGTGGCCGCGCGGCTGACGACGACGACGCCAACTTGCGCAGCGACGTTGCGCCCGCGGCCGGCTCGCTGTACGTTCGCGCGCTCGGAGGGCTACGCGGAGCCAGATCGGCCGAGGGATCGGGGCTCGAAGCGGATGAGATCTCGATCTCGATCGACTGCGGGCGATTAATTGCGACGCGGTGTGCCGGAGGGCGACGACACCTCTCGTATTATTCTATAATCGTATGCACCCTCGAGGGTAGAGTTCCAGCTTCGCGTACGCAGCGGATGTTCTTTGGAGATCCTTCTGCGAGACTGAGTTGCGGGTTTTTCTACAGAAAGGATTTGGAGAGACGACCAAATCGCGAGGATTAGCGAGCCCGTTTTTTGAGCTCCTGACAGTGTAATCTCTCGACGTTTCATCGAGGAGCGGAGTTCTTGCGCCCTATTTCTTTCCGGAGGCAGAGTGAGGACTGATGGAGAGTCTCCAGGTGAAATCCCCGCCGAAGCAGCAACCGAAGAAAGCCTTTCCTCTCAGTGCGACGGAGACGACGCAGGCCGAGGATGCCCGTTCACGCTTGATGGCCATCTCGCAGTTCGCCCCTCCGGCTGTGGATCCCCAGGTGCAGACTCCGAAGGTGCCTTCGAGTATCGACGCGGATGAAGACGTTCGTAGCAGATTGATGTCTCTGTCGTACGTTAACATTGAGCAACCGAGTAACTAGTCGTTCTGATGATTTTGAATTGGGATGTTGAAATTCACGTTTCGACGGCGAAACGTGCGGAATTGCACTGCTTGCCATCAGTCCAGCCTCTGAGTTGTATATAGGGCGGTTCGAGGGCGAAGCGACGAGGAGGAGTCTCATCTCGTGACACCAGGTGAGGATGACGATATTATACTCTTACGGAACGTTTGAAAATATGAGACGTTTGCGGCGGAACAGGCAACATCCTTCAAGCAAACACCAGAATTTCTAATGTTGTTGCCCTCAAGGCCGTTTTAATTGTGCCATGCATTTGCTAAACTTTCTTGTCGCTTGCGGCAGCACCGTGGGAATCCTGGGCTCCCACTTGCAGTACTTGTCACCGTTCACACGGTTTTTGGTACATCTTAGCTCAGTCTTAGCTATCTTGTACAATCAGTCTCTGAAGGCTAGGTTTCGAGGAGAATGCAGTTTGTACATTTCATTATCTGCACAGGAAGACTTCAGAGGCCCAGTTAAAGGGTGGAGTGAGCTATAGTACTTGCTTATGTAAAAAAAAAGAGCTTTGTACTTCAAAATAATCGTAATCAACAGGTGGTTCTTCATGACTTTGTGCGTCGTTTCATAACATGGATGGAGTGAAGTTGTTATTTCGCCCTGACAAAGCCATGCGTTGTAAACTTGTTGCGCTCAGCGGTCCTATTCTATTTGCAGTGGATAGCTGTGTAACGTTGAATCTGAGCTTAGATTTGCTTGTACTCATGAGCACCCTTCATGGGTTTGCTGACGATTCCACTCAATCGGTTGTTGCATCGTTACTGTTTCTCCTTGTAAAGATTTAACGTTGCCAAACGATGATTTATCTCCCAAATTCCTAGATCTCAGTACTTCATTGTTAGTTGTGGATCTTATTCAACAGCTATCATTGGAGGGTGTTCAAAATGGTCTGAATTCTCAGTCCATATTTAAGATCTGTCTGTTGTTGAGGGTCGCAAGACTCTCATTAAAGTGACCTATCTTCTGGTGGTTCTTGCCCGTTTGTCTCTATACTCTTCTATGTGAAGGTAGTCCAACAGAACGCCCAGGAAGTTCGATAGGATGGACATCTATCGAAATGGTAAATAGTTCCCTGACGGATCATGGAGTAGTGGGACAGATCCTGTTTTAGTGTAGTTCTAGTATAGGTAGCTTCTTGTCAAATACCTTTTGACATTGAGACCGAAATATTCCAAGAGTGTTCCAGGACTATATCCAAAGTGAAGCAGTAAAATGCATCTGAGATCCTGTGGCTGAAGCGACTCACGGATATTCACATCGAAGCTTGAAAACCCGAAGGAGTTCCAAGAACTGAGGCAATTGTGAAACTGTGAACATCTGAGCAGGGAAGTGAATTAGACAATCCTCGTCCACTTGTTCCCAGTTGTACCAAAAGTAATTCACTGTTACTCGACACAAACTAGTCCATATTTGACACGAACTGTTCAATCCTGTTTGTGCCAAGCGTGGAGAATTTCTTTTCCAGTGACCGTTTTCAAAATCTAACAGGGTTCACATGTTCAATCAGTTTTGCCGAGCACAGCTGGAGGTTGTTGCAAGGACATTTTCTGAAGGAGAATTTGCTCGTCCACAGAGCGGATAGTACCGCAGCAGCATGTTATGCGGGAGGGTTATATTTACACGAATGTCATTCCAAATCGTCTGGAGTGGAAGTGAACTTGCCTGAAGCCAGTTGTCACCAAGTGAGCATCAGTCAGTAGCGCCGTCAAACAATGACACAAACCCAGTCTTTTCTTTCCACGTATGCGAACTCACTGTCGAGAATGTGGTTCCCCACTCCCGAAACGCACCAAATTGTCGCCCCGTGGCTTCAACTGATCAAAAGTCAGTCAGAGCTTCAGGCACAAGTATGTACTGGACTTGCGAGGAGGGTGTCTCCCCAAAAAGCAGTCCTGGCCTAGGTCTACGGGGTCTACGGAGGTGACATACATGATTGAACTTGGTAAATTTGAGGACTGAGTTATGTGATCGACACTAGCAGAAAAGCACAAGCTCGAGATGATTACAGCACGAGAGCGAACGTAATTATGAAATCTAAACCTATCGCGAAAGGAGAATCGAAACATCCTCAATGAAGAAAATGTGAGAAATCTCCCGACAAATATTGGAAAAATCAAGCCAGAAAATATGAATATGATGATTCCACCAGAGGCTTCGACTAGAATTGGCCATCTCCCGAAAATGAGTCAAAATTCAAGTCTCCATCCCCTGTAAACTACCTACACACTTGCGTCTTCCGAGTAATTGCGTGATCGTCTGTGCTGATTACAGTCCAGAGACAATTGGGACTGTTCGGTAAACGTAGCTACATCGGACATTTTCACCGATGTTTAATACTGAAACACACAAATATACTACATTTGTTCTGTGTATTATACGTGTAGCTAAATGTTAAGTTAGCTCGAATTGTCATATTTGGTATCCAGGGTCCACATCGATGATCGATAAAATCCAGCCATCTTTAACTGCGCCTCACGTTCGTGTAGAGTCGAGCGTGGAAAAGGTCACCTGGAATACCTGCAAAAGTGAGAACCCCCGATCAGTGAAAAGTCTTCGTCAGCCCCGCGAAGGAATACATGGCACTGTTGTATAGTATCACGTTTGGCTAGGTGAAAGCCTACTCCAGTCACACCTATAGACAAAGGTACAAGCGCAATCCGTCAATACCCCCAAGTTTTCACAGAAAATGACAGAAGGACAGCATGAAAATTATACTTCTGCGGTCTACACAGCGTCAACGAACTTGGTTGACTGAATTCTGAAGATTTGTTTTCGTCAAGTATTTCACTAACGTATCATATCGAAAAGTCCAAACAGTCTAATGTGAAAGCCATGAACGTGGCCCATAGACATTTCACATAACCGGGTTCTCGATACTGAGAGAAGCTTTTGAAACCTGGAAGTAGTGTTGGAGGCACAACTCAAAAGACATGCCTCATTCGCATTTTCAATAAGTGGCATGCCCGTATGTCCGAACAAATTCATACGTATATTTCAAAACTATAGACGGTGTGATAAGTAAAGAAATAAATGGGAAATTATGCTTCTTGTTGGGGTTGCATGGTCCTGAAATGCTCTTGGAACTGAAGGATTTGCCAAGTATGTGCAATGCTGTTTTTGTGTAGACAGGTCCTCCGACTTTATTACCTTCAGCAAATAAACCAGATGTCTAGCATGAGAAACTATATTTCCTTGTGGGATGTAGACATGTCCTCCGACTTTATTACCTTCAGCAAATAAACCAGATGTCTAGCATGAGAAACTATATTTCCTTGTGGGATGTAGACATGTCCTCCGACTTTATTACCTTCAGAAAAATAAACCGGATGTCTAGCATGAGAAACTATATTTCCTTGAGGCTTGGACGATCTCCAGTAAACTAGATCTAGCTCTGCTACATGGCACATGATTAGATGTGATGCCAGCAAATGTTGACAAAGGACGGATGAACAAACACATGCGATGCGCACGTTGTTGTTTCCGGCCAGAAAGGCACTTCACATTGTAAACTTTATTTCATTTTTTACATACATTGTTTATGTTATTTACTTCTGCATTTCTTCTGTCTTCAGAATATTTCCAATTTAATTTCCCACAATATCTCCACAATACTTCCTGCTTCTATGCACTCCCTCATTGCCCCGCCCCTTTTGTTCTGCACAATTTTTACGGCTGATATGAATATGGCTGGTGCTGTAGTATTTCTTGCTTCTATGCGGTCCCTCCATGCCACGGAATTGCCTGGCCCTTTTGTTCTGCACAATTTTTGATGGCTGATATGAATATGGTTGGTGCTGTACTATTTCTTGCTTCTATGCACTCCCTCCATGCCACAAAATTGCCTGGCCCTTTTGTTATGCAAGTAACATAAGCACACGTTCTCTCTTGTTTTGATTCCTTAGATAGACACTTCGAGATTCTACTATAGTGTGCATTTGAAACTCTCATTTTCGTGTTGATTGTTTCTCATTCTAAGAGTGCTTGATTTTCATAGAAATATATTTTCTGATGCATCAAGTATACGTATTGTAATACGGGCATGCCTTTTGACCTTGAAAGGGCATGGGCATGCCTCGAAAAATTTTGTTGTGCGACCAACCCTCCCTGGAAGTGATCGCAATGTATCACGCATTGCAGCAAAAGGGTACATTGATATCTGCAAATCCAATCATCAGCCCTTGTGGACCTTCTGATTCGTACTTCGTGCTGCTTTGGATCTGATGTTCGAAGGCTCCGAGCTCGACAGCAGCACATGTGCCGAGGGATGGACAAGGTCCACTACAGCAAATGCAACTACGCTTCTCCTCCTTGATCATAAGATCTAGACTATAGGGATCAATTGCTGCTCAAAGCAGGAGTTTGATCTGTTCACCTCTCTCAACATGATCCGATTCGAAGCAAATTTCAAGATCTTCCTTCATCTTGGCACTGTCTGGACGTGACCCAGACAGTTCGTCCGTGAGACTGAAGACTTTTACAGCACCACTGGAAGATGTAAGGATTTCCTCGAGCCGCTTGTGACGGTGAAGCACAGGGGCGTGGGAGTGGGAGTGGGAGTGAGTCTCCTTCTCCACTTTGAAGGACGTGACCGACATCGGATCCTCGAACAGCAGTGGCCATAACAGCCAAAACATGACAACAAGAGTAGAGGAACGAGGAGTTAGCGTCTCATATATCTCTACATCTGAAGATCTTGATTTCCTATCATTCAGATCACAATGCATTCACGAAGAAATGTAATCATGAAATCCGAGGTTGTGTGATGCATGGTGTATGTATGAAATTACTTGGTTTTCTCCCGCCAAGAAGAAGTTTCCTCTAGTTTGAATCGATTGAAGAACATATCCACATTATCTCAATGTGATATATCCACAACTCTAGTGCTATGACATAAATCACACCCCTTATTACATCATGGCTCGCTATTTAAGATGAAAAAAGACATACATCGCATGGACACATGCTACATTCGATGTATACATGTATACTGTGTTGAAGATGCAGATGGATGAATCAATTCAAGGCTGAAACTTGTTGTTGTAGAAGTAGCTCATCAGAGTTGATAAGCTCGGAGCATGTACAAACCTTTGTGTTACCAAGAAGTAGGGATCTATCCAAAAAAGACCGTAGGGCTTATTGAAACTATTGGCCCATCTAGCTACATTTTAGAACTCTAGTCCTATAGGTGGGCAAAGGAATACCTAGGAAAATGATGTGAGCTACTTTCATATTTCTCACAAAGGATGTGATTAGAAAAACTTGGGGAGTAAAGCAATGTAACTAAAAGTGCCCAATCAGTCAAATATGATATATGAGTGATAAATCTAATTATCCAATCGAAAGTGACACGGATGTATTTCTTTCTATCAAATCTCTCTTGACACATTCTACGTTACATTGTCATCAAAACATCAAACGATGCTTCTATCAAAGAATGTCAAATATAATTCAATTGACATGGTTACTAATGAGCGAAGAATACATCATACACGCGAGATTCACATCAAGGATTACACGGTTCACCTAGTAACAGGATAGATCCATGTGTATATGAGAGCACCAGACTAAAACACCATCGTTGACTCCATACCATGCCTCCATATCAAAACTTCTTCTAGAGTACTATGGGAGTTCAGAAAATGAAATCCCATTTGGAATTTTCTCAACTACCCAGCATACTCAGTCCAATTACTGAAACTAACTAAACTACTCAGTAACCAAAAGTGTACTAAGTCTACACTAGTAGCTATATTGAAACTAACAAAAGTTTCTCAATAACTGAATGCCACTAAATATCTAAACTTTGTCCTTGCCCAGGGCAATTGATGTTCTAAATTCCAATATCTTTCTAGTAGACTAACTCTCTCTTGGACTGACATTCAATGCACAAAGAGGAGCAACCGTTCAAAACTGAATAGCTCGTGCACGAAATGAGATAATTTTAGCGATCAGTACTCTCCAGGTGGGAAACAAGTATCGAGGTTATTGCACTCGGTCCTCACACGCTTCGATGAAGTTCATCGTCTCGTCTCATCTGTGGTCCAAATCCCATCGCAATCTGATGACTCGCGTCTCAGATAGCGCATCGAGCGCAGAACCTTCTCAGTCATAATCTGTCATCATTTACAGAAATGTACACAATGTCGATGTGCTTGCATGGCTTCGTCAGAATCTGCAGCAGCAGAGCGGGTTCGACAGAAAGTGACTGTACAGGTGTAAGGGTATAGTACACGGACGGAGCTGCTATCGTTCCCTACTGATTTCGTCCTCGGCCGTGATGCTGCTACGATTGAGAGGAGTTTCATCGGATTCGCGACTCGCGCCGGCAACGCTGGCAGCAGTGGGCAGCGGATCATCGAAAATGTACGTGATGGAGCTGTCGCGGCGGGTGATGGTCGTGAACAGCGGCAGTTCGGATTCTTTGTGTTCCGCAACAACGCTGAAGTCTGTGAAGGAGTCCGAATCGGAGAGCGTGTCGAGCAGCTGAGAGGAATCTCTTCGCCACGAGCCGAAATTCATTCGATTTGCGCGGTCGCGCGAGTCCGGCAGTTCCACCACGTCCGCAGTCCCGAGCAGCATGCTCAGCACGAGAGACATGGCCGGGCGCCTCGTTGGGTCCGTCTGCAAGCACCAGAGGCCGATCTTGAGCAGTCTCGTGACCTCCGACTCATTGATTTGCCAATTTCCCCGAAGATTCGGGTCCAGAAGCTTCATCAGTGCACTCTCCCCTTCTTCGTACAGATACCGAGCCTGGTCGAGGCCACACAGCCATTTAGTCTCAAATCAATCTCCTTCTGATTTGAGAAAGATGATCAATCAATGCAGATTTGCCCAAGGTGCTTACCCAATTGACGAGAAAGACCTGCTCGGAGGGCTGGTTGTACTCTATGCTCTTTCGCCCACTGACAATCTCCAGCACGAGCACTCCATAGCTGTAGACGTCGAACTTGTCAGTGAACTGGCCTTCCGACGCATCTTCCGGAGGGAGGTAACCCCTGCACAGATCGACCACACTACCAACTGTCAGATTGACTGGCCTTCTTGAAGGAGGCTCGAGGCAATCGTGAGCATGGAGAGTATGATTTGCTATCAGGTACAGCATGTGCTCACACAGTTCCAGCCAGGTGCACCGGTTGTAGACGAGTCTCTTCGTCCCCAAGAGCGGGAGAGAATCCGAAATCCGCGATTTGGGGATTCCAATCTTCGTCCAGCAGGATGTTAGTCGGTTTTAAGTTTCCATGTATAATCGGAGGCTGCAGTCCCTCGTGAAGATACGCGAGCCCACGAGCCAATCCCAAGCAGACATCGAAGCGTTGTCGCCATTGCATGAACACTCGAGACGTTTTTCCATCTGTTCAAAATTTACAGTTCACAGTGAGCCCATATCAAACTCTGCACGTGCAACAGTCCACAGACATCTCATGACAACCTTTTATCGACCAGAGCACCTTCCACGGCTCCTATCGGTCTCGTCTGCACTCCGAGTCCAGGATCAGGTTGAGCACGAGAGCTTGTGCTTTGACCTACCGGAAATTGTTCTTGCCAGGCTCCCGTTGACAGCGAACTCGTAGACGAGCATCGTGTGATTATCTCTGATGCAGCAACCCTTGAGCTGAAGCAGATTCCGGTGCTGTATGGCTGTGATGAGCCGGACTTCCTTCAGAAACTCGTCCAGCACCTGCTTGCTGTTGAAGAGCCTTTTGACAGCCACTCTTGTTCCATCTTCTAGCTTCCCCTGGAACAAACATTCACCATTCACCAGCGCTGACATCAGAATGAGCTGTGGCTCATCAGAGTGAAGCAAGCGAGGGAGTTCAGAATGTCACCTCGTAAACTTCGCCGAAGGCCCCGTATCCGAGCCTCAAATCTTGGTGGAAATCCCGAGTTGCATGTTTGAGGTCGTCGTAGGAGAAGAATCGAGGCTGCACACCTTCTCCTGCTAAAGCTGGACAGGGCCAAGTCACATTTGCATCAGCTCCTGAATGAATTCAGATGCGAGCCTTTTCATCGTTGTCATTTGAATGTTAGACCGGTTTAGCTGGTCGGTCGAAGGAACTTTGCAGGTGCACATTAGCACATTGTTGCCTTTGGAGTTAACCAAGTCGGTTGAGATGATAGCAAGATAGTAGTGGCTTGACAGTCATACGTGCAGTATTATCTCAGTGATTCGATTGAACTCTTTTGCAATCCTTGATCCGCTGTGATTTTCAGCTTGCAATTCTGTTGGTCTGGGAGGGCTTGAAGTGCATAATAGCCCAGATTTTTGGAGCAGGAAACGATCATTTCCTCGCAACTTTCTAAGTGCAAACAACAGAGTCTGACACGAATGTCGGAAGCGAACGGGGTTGCGAACTGTACCTCGACCGAGTTGATCAAATGTGTTCTTTTGTTTCCTCATCTTCCATATCGTCCCCAAACAGATGCAGATACTCAAAATTGTCAAGGCTCCCAGCGTCGTAGAGACCACAATGATGACGCGCTGCTTGGCAACGCCGGAACTCCCATCGCTCGTGGAACAGAAGCCCAAGCCTGTCAGCAGTGGCATTTGTGTCAGTTCCGGGAGTCATGCTCGCCTTCGATACTACGGAGGCAAGGGCTGCAGAACGGGCGTACCTGAGGGCGGCGTCTCGTCCGCTGAGAATCGACAAACATATCGGTAAGCCATTTCGACATGTTGCACGAGATATTGTTCGCCGAGGAATTGTCGCGCATCCTCACAGAAAGGGTTGCCTCCGAGTCTGCAGAAGACGGAGCCAGGAGTCAAATCCGGGGAGCGAAAGATTGCAGTGCAGGTGCATCGAGGGCTTCAACTAGTGCACACGGCGGATACACAGTCTCTCTGGCTTACAGGATGCCGCCGCCGTTCAGCGCGTCGGCGTGCGGTGAGCAGAGCGTGGCAGCAATTTGAGTGGCCAGCACGCTGAACGCAGGAGTGACGGTGGAGATGGAGGAGTTCACGAGCGAGAACAGCTTGATCGAAGACCCCGGGCCACCTGCTTCGATGCTCCTCAGAGACTCTTGCCACACACTCAGATTCACGGCCGAGATGTTCGTCCGATCCAGGACCCTGCAGCGAGCCGAACAAACGTGTCAGTGCAAACATCCATCGAGAACTCGGACACCTTCTTTCATCGCTGAAATCCACAATCCATAAGGTCATGTTTCCGACACTCACACTGTTTCCAGGCTCTCCAGGCCCCACAACTCGCTGGTCAACGTGGCGTCCGAGAGGTCGAAAGGGTGCTCGTTGCCCGTGACATTTCTGGACAGGACGGAGCGAATTAGCAAAAGCGGAAGCCTCGAAATCGATCTGAACCTCGACCCAACGGAAGTGAATTGCAACTGGCAATTCAATCGGCAAGTGATTCCGAGACCAGAGCTGAACTCACATTTTGACGACAGTGCCAGAGGTGGCGTTGCACTCGAGCCAGGGCTCGGGAACCGGAAAGCACGGATCGAAGTCCCACTCGGTCAAATTGAGCCCGCTTCGAAGGGATTGCAGCACAGCCACTGGAGCCAAAATGCCACAACGAGGAGTCGTCAGGATTCGGGAGAGCGGAGGCCAGACGACAAGCGCACGCAGGAATGCACGGGCAACGAAGGGAGGGGGGGCGCGGGGTCACGACCGTCGCGGTCGAGCGTTCTGGAGCTGTCCCAGACGGCGACGGTGTACAGCTCCAGGGCGTTGGCCAGCGGACCCACGGGGGACCACCCGTCGCGGTCCCAGGCCACGGTCACGCGACCCGACCAGCTCGCGGGCAGCGCGGTGATCACCTCCAGCCTCTGCAGGCGCGAGCTGGCGTTGACGTGCCGCGCCGTCGCGTTGATCGGGGACGTGACCCCGTCCACGATCAGACTGATCTTCATGCCCCGGAGCACCGATCCGTTCGGCGGCTCGAGCTCTTTCGTGGAGACGAGCGCGTAGACGCCATCGCCCCCGGCCACCTCGTACCCGAACTCCATGACGTCGCGGCCATCTGATCCCCACGCGTCGCCCATCACCTTCCCGGGCACGATCAAATCTTCCGTCGCGTTCGTCGCTGTGACTGCCTTCATGTTCGGGTACGTCGCGTTGGACAAATCCGGCGCGTCCCAGATCCGGTCCACAGAGTCGTCCGGATACCTGCATCGGAACGCCCCAGCGGTCATGCGACGCCTCATAGCGATGGATGGATGGACGTATGGAGGATGGTCGACGACCGACTTACCTCACGGCGGCTGCACCGAGATCGGCACCGCAGTTGAGGCGAATTCCGTCACGGAGAAACCTGCCCGTCCAGTTCTCTTGCTGCGCCATGTGGTCGAACGGAGCCATGACGTTCGGGTCCAGGATCGGGCGCAGCTCCAACGAGGAGATGAACGGAGCGCCCGAGCCTGGAACGAGGCAGACGTCGAGGACCGTGCCCGCCGAGAGGACGACGGCCTCCGCGACCACGGGGCTGGAGAGTCCCAGCGACGACGATTCGTTGAACTCGAGCGAGGCCCAGGCGGTGGCGTTGAGCGTGACGGCGAAGCTCACGGGCATCGGCAGCAGCGGGCTCGCGCCGTGCAGGAACATGGCCCTGACGAGGTACGACGTCGCGTTGCCCTGCACCGGCAGCCGGTAGCACTGCTTGGGTCGGCGCTCCGGGAAGTATCGGAAGTCGCTGAGCGTGCTGTTCAGCGGCCACGAGAGTCGGCTGGTCGTGCCCGCCAGCGCGCCGCTCTCTCCCGCCGCCGTGAATGCCGAGTCGTTACTCCAGGCGATGCCGAGCCCGTCCACGTACGCCGGTGCCATTCTCCCGCAGTCGATGCTCACAAACCCTGCACATCGATCCCACAATCACTCACTCCGTCCTCACATCTCCATTCCAGCTTAAATTCGAGCCTCCCCGATCCTGGACACTTACCGGGCTGCGCTGCGCAGGTACTGAGCAGCCCCAATCCGATGAAGTATATCCTCCATATGCCCGTCAGGCTCTCGACAATCGTCATCTTCATGTGCAATTGCGTCTGGACTTCCGAGGAGTATGAATCTCAGAGCTCTTCTCGCCCCGCCTCTGAGTCAAATCGTGTTGTATCGTTTCTGTTCTTGTTTTGTTTATGATTATGCTTCTCTTCGGGCGATTCAGCCACCCACGCAGCAAATCGCAACTGGCTCGAGCACTCAGGTTCCGATCACGACTGACATGAGATATTACTGTAACCGTAGTACTTCTAGAAAATCGTGAGCGCTCTCTCCTCCTCTTGCTGGTAACGGAGTTCAAGTGACTTCGATGCCTGCTCATGACACAATCACTTCCGTGTACACCAGGAGCCCGACCACGTTCTTCCAAAGACCTACTGCAAGAGGTTTTCCCTCAGGCTGGTGGTCTAAACCCTGGGGCATTCAATTCACAATTTCGGCTTCATGGATCATGGTCGAATTCAAGTCCAGCCAGCATACGGTCAGTACTCCAGATAAGCGTGCTCAGAGCTTGGTCTGGCTCAACCTTTCGACAGCAGGAAAATGTTCACCGTGCGACCTTTGACAGTCGCCGGTGCAGAAGTAGACGGCTATCCCAAAATTGACTTGAAATCGACCACCGTCGCTGCCGTCGGGCCGCACCATCTGTTGGTGTGATATTCTGTGACGTTTCAAATCGTGCATCTTGCAGTCCTTCAGATTCTGCAACAAATACTTCTTCGTTGGATCCACGTTGTCATGCGAACAAATACAGAATAGAATCGTCAGCTGAGAGCGTACTCTTTCTCTTTCAGTCATGTTCTGAGGTATCAGATCTAGTCTGTCTTTGGACACCTCGAAAACAACCTAGAACTAGACATTCGTGAATTCAAATCAAAAGTAGATGTTGGAAGATTTCTTGAAGCCTCTGTCATCAGAAGAACATGATGACTCAGAATAGATTGATCTTGAGCCTCTCTGCAACAAATTCACTCCGCTCTCTAGACATTAAATCAGGCCGAACCGAATAGCTGGCAACTCCCTTCGCCTGGAAACAAGATTGTGAACTCGATCTCGTACCCACCTTGTCATGGCTCGTGCTGCAGAAGATGGAGCAATTAAGGTCCGATTGTCCGGGCGAGAGATCTTCCTTTCACTCGATCCACCGCAAGCGAGCGAGGAAGGTGAAGGAATGAATGCAGGCGTTATTGTAGACAGAGACCAACAGGGGGCCTTGACCCAAGAGACAGAGACAGAGAGAAGGGAGAAGATGAGAGAACACTTCAAACTCAACTCATGACTCATCTTCTTGCCAGATCTGTCCGTGTCAAGAACCTGCTTATGTATCAACAGTTGATTCTCAGGTGGCCCGGATTATCCCCGTCCTTCTTCTCCGACATTCATGTCCTCAGCTCAGCCGAGGACAAGTCCGAAGGCGGCAGATGTACGAAGGCGGACATTGACATTTCGACCACACCGGCCCCATTCTCCACTCCTTCAGATGTGGAGAATGGGTCAACTTTCCCGCACAGGTCAGGTCAGCTTGAGGCGGGTCGTCAGAACCTTAAAATTATCATATAATGATTCCCACTCTGACTTCCATAGACTTTACACAAATTGCCATTCACCTCCACAACTGAACCTCTGTCCTTTCCTTTCCGTCCGCAGGAGGATTCACTTTGCCTGTTCGATCTATGAACTCTCCAGTTGCAGAAGCCAGAATCTGTAGTTTTCGACATCCTTCTGTCCGACTAGATTGAGTACTCGTCCAGCTTCTGAAACGCGACGCCACGGCGACTCTCTGGAAATATGTGCGTGGTCGTCTGGAGAGTAAGACGGCGTAATTATCTGGCTACGATCATCCAATCGATCAAGGGCATACAAGACTTGTCTTCGTCTGTCGTCCACCGTGTTGAACAGCGTTGAGTGTGAGTTCTACCAGGTCACACCCACGAAGTTATCGGCCTTCAGAAGAGGTTGAGAATCTTTTACCTCGTAAAAGATGGCAAGCTCTTATTTCCATGGCAATCGGAAGAGATGAACTATCCACGGGATGCAAGGTTCAGCCACTGTTGAACATCATGCTCACGGGATTGGTCTAGTAGTTAACATATGCTACACATGTTAGAAGTTCGGGCTAGAATGGTGTAGCAGGGGTGCAATCTGCATTTCACTCTTTATCTAAGGATTTTTTATTTCAGGCCGCTACTCCTTACAAGACGAACTCCCAAGTGATATGGATACCGTGTGGGGCCGTGATTGGAACCGGATGAAGCCTGTAGTCCCGGTCGGAGCATGTTCTGACCTAAGAAGAGTGGTTAGTAGGAGATAGCATCAGTCATTACCAGGCCTGCTTAATGGAGACTAAACTGCAACTAACCTAGACTCCGCCTGCGCACCTACTGTACTTATGTATACTACCCTTGACAGTTGCGCGGATTGTTTATTCAGATTGGAGTTGCGTGATGGAGTGGGAGGTGTTCTATGGGTTCTAAGCATGAAGCATGCTGATGAAGATATTCTGGAAAAGAGCAGGTGCGTCTTTGATTGTAACTAAGTTTATACATTAATAACCTACAGAAAATCAAAATTGTACCTCCAGGATTATTGTGAAGATTCAAAGACTTGTCCAAGGTGCATCCTGAACTGGCGGATTTAGACAAATAAGGTTGCTAGATTTTAAAAAAATAACCTGAAGGGTTCAATCATAGATATGGTTTCTTCTGATGACAAATTAGAGTTCCTTTGAAGTGGTGGATTGTTGATAATCGTAGAAATCATATTGGGCTACTCTAAGTTTTGGATAACAGCATTGTAATATTGAATAGTAGAGGAAACCCGGAGAATCAAAACAAGGTGATTGACAACCTGAGTTTTGTTGCAAATGGCTCCATTTTATGCACTCTAAATGTTTAATAAGTTTCACATTTACACACCGACCTAGGGTCTCTTGGTGTGACTAAATTTAGGTAATTTAGGACTAGACTAAGCAGGCATGGTCATTACCCATTACAACGCTTTTGCATTGTCTAAAAGTTGGGTTCAGTAGCACGAAACTTTTGGTACGGCCAAACACGGAGTTTAGGAAGGCTTCGCGTGTTCTTTACACTAATTACACGGAGTAAAATATTTCCTATGTACGTCTTCACATTTAATTGCTCATAACTAGATAGATTATTTTCTGCTATTTCTCTATGTACATTTTTGAAAATTGCATGTAACCACTAAACAGTGGCTTCATTGAGTTGTTTTAGGTGATTGTATCGATTGAGAGAGTTGGGATTTTATCGTCTAGAGCTATTTTCTAGTACGCTTCTTTCAGTGGAAATGTATCTATCAGTATATTTGGAAAATGAGATCAATTGTTCTGTATGAGAGCCTATTGCAACTTATCAGAAGTGCGATCATGCAAAGTATTTCACAAATGTAATAGCATCTTTGTCAAAATTTTATAATTATCTCATTTCAAAGTTGTGAATCGATATCTTTAAACATTGCAGCATTTTCAAATATCCATCCAGATTGAGTTATCTTAAATATGATAGTTCAGTAGGTTTTTCCTAGTATACCGTGTACAACCATCTTCAGAGCATGAAACATATAGAACTTCATTAAAAATCATGGCTAATACAATCTTTCTACTTTCTCTTTTCTTATAATGGCTTTTCACAGAGTATAGTCATTGCTCTAGAGTTTGTTATTCGTCTTTCACAAAGATATACTATGAAAGTACATTTAGATGTTAGATTTTATAATCTATAGATGTATAATTTTATAATTTAAAATGATAGATTATAAAATTCGTTTCGTTTATAATATTCGTTTGTTATACACTTTTGATAACATTCAGTACTCAAGTAATCAAATTTCTTTGTATTTACCATACCTCATGAAATAAACCTATAATATAGCATGGTTACAACAAAAAGCTTGAAAAGGAGATAATAAAAGGTGCTATTTTTATATATTTCCATACCATATCTTTACGAGAGATTTGCTTGATGGGACCCCTGCGGAAAGTAATTTGCTTGATAAGACCCCTCAGGTTTAGTTTTATCCGATGGAACCCCAATAGATCTTGTAACTATGATTACTACTAGTTACAATGCGGGAATTACAATAAGAGATCAATCACTGATTATAATTTCTGGTGGATTATCACGGGGACAAAGATCGATTTTGCTCGAAGTGCAATTTGTTGTGCTTTAATTCTTCCGATTATAATTTCTGGTGGATTATCACGGGGACAAAGATCGATTTTGCTCGAAGTGCAATTTGTTGTGCTTTAATTCTTCCGATCGCAAAGATTCGCGGATTTCTCTGTTACCTCCCACCTGCACACTCCTTCCGTAACCCTGCGTGGTCCGAGCTCAAGTCTCGCGATCACCCATTTGTGGCGAACAAATAACCTCTGGATGAACATTTCTTTGCTCGTCTACTTGGAGAGCGGCCGGATACATAATGACAACATAAAAACAAGTGAGTGTGATGGAATGCGAAGTCCACTCTAACTGCGGGTGCGGTGGACTCGTTGCACTCTCTCTAGTTGTTATTAGAACATGGGTGACGGTGCGTCGTTCATTGGGTACCATGGGGTAAAATGAAACCTGAAAAGTTCCATCAAGCAAATTACTTTCCGCAAGGGTCCCATCAAGCAAATCTCTCATATCTCTACTAAACATTTTGACTAAAATTAAGTTAATTTCTTTCAATGTAATCTTGATTTCGAAGCGATTTTTTCTGAACAGATATTAAAAGAGAACTGGACGTTTTACCGGTTTTTGAGAGCTTATTTCGGTGGACTTGTCAATCAGTTCAAAACTAAAAAGAAATTGAGCTATCTACTGATCAAACTTGATGGATTTTCTTCAGATCGTGGCAGGAACACCAAATCCTACCTTACTTACGATGAAGACTTTTTTTATCCACAAGTGGCTGCAGAAGAGCTAGCACTTGTCTCAAGCTCAAATTATTCACACCATAAAGTTACCCTGGACCACACTCGGTGCTCCTGGACAACCAAGAAGTCAACTCCCCATTAAATCATCTCTCATTCCAAACAAAAGTTTTACACCGGTCATGGCCACACTTCCTAAGTCGACAATGTTCGCCTTCCCTCGGCCAGTAAACTGGGCAAGACGATACCAGAATTTGGTCACACTCAAGTTCGCAGTCCACGAGACGTATAATAACGCACAAATCTCATTGGTTTCCGAGGTCTTCCTAGAGCCTAGAATACAATTTGGACTTCTGCGGACCAAAAAAACAATCGTAAAGACGGAAAGACAAATTGGTTGGTTGCGGACCTTTTTCAAAGTTCGTCATTTCAATTAATATTTACAAAACAGACATGACGAACGCACAGGTGCTTCCAATTGATGTGCAACTGTCTGTCCTACAGACCTCTTTACAGTGCTTTACTAGAGTACACAAATCACTGTAAAGAAACGTGATTTGAATATCCACCCTCGAAGACACAAAGGATTAAAAATTTCCCAGTTTGGTGTGTTTGGGCTGTAATTCTCTAGTTCTCCCTTTTTTCTTCCTGGGACTATGGCAACAGACAAATAGCTTGAAAGGCGTCTGCACAAAACAGAAGGAGATTCATCCAGATGTACCGCGAGTTTTCTCATATACACCTTAGATAATTCTCAATTCTTGAATCAAAACGTTGCTATACCCTTCAACTTTGTGATGAAACGATCTCTTACAAATATACAACCTGTCAGTTCGAATCAGAACTGCGGACGTAGCTTCTTCATCAGGATAATCTTGTATTGCTTCGTGCTGCACTTATGCAGCATGTTCTCGTGAAGGCCTTGCCCGTACTTTCTCCGCCCAAGTGGGAAGAATAGAAACCACCCCGATGAGAAATAGAGTTCCCAGAGTCTTCGCGTCGTATAGATCCGTTATCGAATGTAGATCATTCAGAGCAAGGCCAGCCTGCAAAATTAAAGAAAGATTTGTCTTGTCGAGATAAGATTTCGATCGACTGTCAAGTAAAATAGAATGCTTGAGGACTGTACGACCAAACAACACAACAATATGCCAGTCAGTTTGATACATCTTCACAGCCCAGTTTTTTCGTAGAACAGCATCGCTCGTAGATAAACCGCATAACCATAAAAACGTTACGATATAACAAGGGACTAGAAGTACTTACCCTAACTGTCACAAAGGCTGCAGGAATAAGACCAAATAGTGTTGCCAAAAAAAATGTACGATAAGGAACGTCAACAATGGGGGACGCAACATTGATAAACGTATTTGGAAGGGTTGGCGTTATCCTCAAAAAGAGCATGTAATTTAATAAGGACTTCTTCCTCCTGGCTACCTGCATCACGGCGATGTAAAGTCAAAACACAGATCTCAAAACGACTACACTTACAGCACAACGGGTTAGCTACAGACATTCTTGGAACCGCACTGCACCTATCTTCTGTTGTTGCTTTAATCTGAGATATATAGGCCAACGAAAATAACAACCCTTTGATTGCCTTCTTGGATTCGCCCTGACTGTTTCGGAGAAGAAAAGTAGAGAAGGGAGAACAATGAGTAAGTTCACATGGCATCTAAATATTGACAACGACTTTCCTAGTGTGTCTTGAACGAGCTAACAGACCAGCAAGCGCCACGGGAAGTGAACAACTTCCTGACTTCGACGTAAAAGGTGATGAGGGGTATAAGAAGGATACCTCAGAACTGAAAAAGCTGAGTTTCTCTGGCCATAGCCAATGCGCAATCGGTCTACCCACCAGCTTTGAAAGGAAAAAGCAGGATGAAGCACCAGATGTTGCAGTTACTATCACCAAAATTAGACCTTTAGTAACACCAAACAAAGAACCGGCTAGCAGTGACATGAAAATCGTTCCGGGAATCATGAACGTTTGCATGAACATGTATGTGACAAAGTATCCCAGAACCACCTGCAATGTGTAGTCTTTGGCATACCCAGAAACGTATTCCCTGCACATCCGTTGTTCGAGTAACAGTAAAAATAAGCACAACATAAGGAGCTTTGCTGAAGTAAAGCTTATCAGCAGTGCTGTGGGAACACAGCAAGAAAGCAACGTGGGCCGGGGATTGTACTAGGCCTGTCAGCTTATTTAAAGTGGGCCCTTGTTGCTTGAGTTCACCTGCGTTTGTCAGATTACAGACTAATGGGCTCTAATCAGGACACAGACAACTGTCATCAATGAAGCAGACAAACAGACCAACGTCTCACTCCATGCTATCAAATTGATGCCAGAGCCTCACGCGTTTACTTAGCAGTCATACTTGTCGAAAAGCGACCTTTTCATCTGCAATTCTCGTTATTTTAAGTTGACACAGCACTTTCTCTCAAAAAGATCATGGGTTTTCTCGACTCCAAACTCCCAAAAAATGACATGTGAACTGCTGCTGTCTGTAAACTTAGTACTTAACTACAAAATCCGAAACAAAATGTTCAGTGTATTGAATATCTCCAATATATGCAGAACGAATGTCGCAGTGGAAATATATCGGCAGTCTCAACTCTATCAGAGTCAAATCACAGGTGTGCAGTTTGGCAGACCGTGAACGAAGTCCGCACGAGACAATGCAATATTACCTTCAAGCACCTTCAATTGGTGACAAACGGTATTATGCAGGGGAATAACACGATAACAAACGCTTGGCAAAATGCTTGACGTTTTGAGCACCTAGTCTGCTTACATGTGGCACTGTAGGAAGGAATCTGTTGCAAGAAGGTATCTCCTATGTTTTGTGCATACAAACTCCGTACGAGAATCTGGCACTAGATTAACTAGTGGCAGATGTTCTTAGCGCAATTTCTCTCATAAGCTTGTCCAGAGCGGCTAGGATGAGGTGGACGACCGTACCAATAGATGCTGGATGAGTAGGAAAGGGAGTTGGTAAAAATGTAGGTACCGTCTACATATACAGATGTTTCTTAATGTGGAAAGGAAACTAGAAGCTCACATTCGTGTCCAATTTCTAAGCAAAAGTCTCCATCTCAAAATGTCCACTTTCACCTGCTCCGTCAGTTCATAGTTTGAACCAAACCAAGGAGCCTTCAATTTTGTCCAGAAAAATATAAAACTGGATCAGTTTTGAATGACTGTCTAGCTTCGATACATACTTCTTCTCTTTGAATCTCTTCGTCGGCATTCTTATCTGAGTCATATCTTCTACACTGTCAAGGTCCATCCGCAGACAAAAGTATATCAAATACGAGCGGAGGGGAGGGACGAGGGTAATAAGAGAGGGGAATATTGTAGATGATCAGCATGCAACTAGGACATACATACCTTCACAAACTTGCAAGTAAAAGGGCAGTAATCATAGGTTTCAGGAAGAAGATGGTAACGGCCACATACTTACTTACGACTTTGGAATATACACAAGAAGATTAAAAAACTCGTGAAGACTTTTCAGAGCTACAATTCATTTCCAATTCAGCAAGAACATGACAAGAGTCTTAAAACAGAAAAACGAAGCCTCATCAGCAATAAGCGGTCTCCAACTTTCCACGTTTTCTCGCAATCAAGTACCGCATATGGGATGAGGGGAAAAAACAATGCAGTCCCGATAGCATAATGCGAAGGAAAAAAAACACGACAAAATAGAGAAAGTAACCTTACGTAAGCAACCGAACTTCATCCACGTTATGGGGGAGCTTAAGAACCTGATAATCCACTGTTGGCATTGTCAGGTATATAATGGACAACGCCATGGCAAACACGGAAAACACTATGACAACCGCCCCAAGCTCCCCTTGCGTTAGAGGGAAGTTGATTTTGTTAACAACGTCCACCGTTTCTCTTTCAGTGCGCTTTTGCTGACACTCCTCTGCTTGCCGGGCCGGGTCACCGACACTAGTTTGGAAGGTCGCCATCGTGAAAGAAGTAGAATGTGTGAATTGCTGCAGTAAATCCCTCACTTCATTGAGTGTTGGTAAGCCCGAAGACAAAGAACTCTGCAGCAGACCGGTCTTGTGCCTCGATTTTCTGATCAATTCACGCTGCTCAAGAGAAGAGAGTTCGATCCAACGGGTTTCCTTCTGCCCAATAAGGTTTTGTAAGCGCAAGTTTCAAAAGGGTATCGGTGTAGCGATCTGGTCACAAATGAGAATGGAGTCTTCTTACATCACCCATGACCTGCAACCAGGTCTGACCTAGACCTTCCAAGAGGGAAATTGCGACGCCTCCAAATGCAAGCCGAGCATGTTCCGGGCTCAATGATAGACTAGTCCCCAGCCATACAATTTCCGCATGAATTCCCCGGTTTCTGAGTAGAGATCCTCGTGGAGGAAAAGAAACGGCAGGTGATTGGTCGCCAACCCAAGGCCCTCAATGATTCACAGAGTTTCAAAGCTATTCCCGCAGGCCTTCAAGAACTCTAAACGTCCTCGCCTTGCGGTCAAAGAATGCCATCATTTAGTGCGACTCATAAGCGATCGAGTTGGCGAAAGTCACGAACGATAGAGAAAGGCAGATGGAGAGACAGAACGCAAGGGACAGAAGAAGATAGAGAAGATAGAAAAGCGTGTGGGAACGGGGAAGGAAGAGGGAAGAGAGGCTAAGAAACTGACACCGGGTCAGCGACACTGTGAAAAACGGGGACACAAACATTGAAATGCACAGCATATACACGCAGACGGAGAGCAACGCCGGGGTCACCGAAAGAGAAAAAGGCGAGAGCGAAAAAGCGTTGAGGACTGTCGAAGCCCTCAAGGCAATAATACTACTGTTACCGCTACTGCTGCTGCTGCTGCTGCTATCATTTGCACCCCTCATCACGCTATTGCGTTGTTCCGGCATCGCAGGGATCCACACCACATTACGTGCCTGGGGCCCTCAGAACAGGCGAATCTTCCATCTCCACGAATATCTCGACGACGGTCCCTTCTCAGTCTAACTCTTGCATGTGGTAAGGTCCCCCCACCAGAGTCGATGGCGGTCCACTAATCGAGTCGGCTCCAAACTCGCGGGACAAATTGGAACCCTTTGCCTGAATCTGCTGAGACCCTCTACTTTCGCAGACGCCAGAGGGAAAGAAAGAGATGGAAAGAGGCTCCAGGTTTCATCCCCACATTCCGTTTTCCCACCGCATTCTGTACAAACCCCTCCAAATTCGACACCGAGCTCGCTTCTTGTTCGGGCCCACAAGAACGTGACCTCCCTCGCGTTCGTGTCGTGTTGCTGCCGTCGCTTTAGGGTTCGTCACTTTGCCACGTAAGCGCTGCTACTGCTTCCACGGGGCTCGGTGTGCCTACGGGAGACACAATGGGGGCTTCCCGGCCTTGCTCCCCACTTCGTCAGTTTGCGAGTCCAATCTTCATTCCACGATGCGACGACCATTCGGTACCGACGCGAGATTTGGGTGGAAAATCCGCCCCATGCTTTCCCTTGCGACTGGCCCACACCATTAACTCCTCGGAAGCGTGCAACGACAACTCGTGCCCAAAACGCGATGTCCATGAACGGAGTCGTCATCACGAAGTCGTGTTAGAATTTGTCGTTGCGATGTTGGATCGGAGTGATCTGAATCGCAATTTGTCGTCAGCTCTGAGTACATTCAGCAACATTTCTCCTTGGACAATTGTCGAAGCCCAGGCCTGTTCCGTCTGGGAATATCGCCGTGCATCTGAACTCATTGCTTCTTATACCCGCACGTTTGCTTGTCGACCGCATTCTCATACGTTTAAGAGTATCCCCTACAAAATAAATCTTTTGATCTTTTGATCAAAAGATTTGATGTAACAGAGGGGTAGATACCATCAAAAAATGAATGGATAAAGCCAAACTGTTAAAATAGTTTCAATATTTCGGATGGAAAATATCACTTATCCAGGTGTAATAGTCTGTAAGCAATAACGAACTTTGAAACATAAGATAATCTAAAAAATCATGATGAACTCAAATGATCGCTAGGTTAAATAATACACAAGGTCATGTGTTGTCACGGAAACCGCAACATGAAAATTTGTTGAGTAAAGTACACTACAGATTAACCGAAAGAACGTGGCAGTGTTTTTCAGCCTTTGGGTCCCCAGGGTTGATCTATTACCATTTACTATAGCTTTGTTCGGAAGGGTTTGTGGAATGAATATTTGAAACACCCTTCATCGTATCCCACAATCCAAGGAGTCGAACATGCATGCCTGCCTGCCGGTGGGCGGCAAACTCATGTGACCTCAAATAACTCAACTTGCGAGATTCTTCTCGGCAGAATGTAACATCAATTGCTCATGGGCTTTTGCAAAAAATTCGATTTCGAGTTTAAGAACGATATATGAGCAGGGCGAAGTCAAAGAAAACTTCGATGGAGGCTTCTAGCGATACCCACGTTCTAATTGTTTGTCAAAATTCGCTATATGGCAAAAGATTCATCGAGCTAGTTAGCTATGAAGTTTTGACTCAATTCACATTGATAAATCATTAAGAAACTGTACAATTTCATTACACATTGTCAAAGGCAATAGACTCATCTAACCATCTAATAATTGGTCACCTATGAGATTTGAATGCAGACCATTAAGGTTTCTAACATTTGTTAAGGGGTGATACCAATAATCAGCACACTTGCAATAATATTCTGACACCAAGTTTAGATCCGTCCTGAACTAATAGATTGCAGTGCATCATCTCTTACTCCGTGTGCGCCGAATAGGGGAAAAAAATGAGATTTGTTAAGAATATCGTATACTCTTACTTTCAAGTATACTATAGGTTTTTTTACTTTTTGACATTTTTTTATCTAATGATATTAATTAAACTTCAAATCTGCCACTAGTTATGTGAACATACTTAAACCAAAACATCATCATGAGACTATTTGATATATATATTACATTTTTACTTTGATTTGTTCTGATTTTGTAGTTTGTATTCTAGTTAAATTAAGAAGTTAAAATTTAAATTCTTAATTGAATTTCATGTCTTAATTGTCAAATATTTGACCCTATGATATTTGAATTAATATCAAAATGATTTCATAAAAAATCAATCATAAAGAAATCCTCATTAGTATCAATGAAGATCTCAAATTTCAAGATTGCGCATAATTTAGAACATAATTCTATTGATATATTATCAAGCATTAAATATATCATTATTTTTGATAAATTTTATTATCATGAAAACTATAATTATCTGTAATATATATGTATAAAATTAAAATCATAAATTATATTTGTAGAAATTAAAATAAATATGTAAACATTTTTTATATATATTTTTAACATGTAAATTGATACTTTATTCAATTAATATCATAAATTTTTTCAATATATATCTATATATAACAAATAATTATACGAAAAAAATATTTTTCAGCAAGTTCATGATAAAACATGTAAATACTAACATTTTCACATACACAACAAAATTAAATTTCTTTACAATAAATCATAAATCATTGATTGTATATGATGATATATTCATCATCAAGCATATATATATATATATATATACATATATATATATCGAATTCTGAATAAACTTACAAGTTATTATTATGATCATGTAAATTTAATTTGGGAAAAAATTAATTTAAAACATATTTTTCCTTAATTATTGAAATAAATTTTTATTATTCACAAAATATACTTCAATTTACATAAAAATATAGAAGTTATGAAGTAATTGTTATGAGTTAATTCAAAGTAACATATTTAAGTTGATTGAACTATTAAATTAAAAAAATGATCCTTGTTTTTTATAGGACATAGCTTAGGATTTTTTTATTTTTTTTTAAATCTTGACAATTATATATATTTTACATTATCATAAAGCATTTTTGTTTTTGTGAATGTAGAGTTATACATCTACTTTGTTTTGTTGCATCGTTGTTTTTAGATGAATTCTAATTTTTCTTCAATAATTTATATAAGAGTGAGAAGTCACAAATACCATAACACATGTTAAATTTATTTGTAGCTAGCTATCAAACCTTGTGATGATACATCATATGCATTTTTTATAAAGCAATTATGACAATGATTTTACTTGTCAATGTGAAACAAATCAAAATCAATTAGTCAATGTGTAAAAAATTGAGAAAGAATTAAAAAAGAAAACTTATTGAAAAATTTTTTAATTTAACTAAATTTACTTGATTTTGGAAAATTTTATGTAGTGACATCATCAAAACTATTAATATTTTAAAACTTTGCTTAAAATTTTAAAATTGTATGCTTTAAAAACATTGTGTTATTAGATGTTTAAGTAAAAGGGTATTAGAAAAAAATCAAGTATATGTTGCAGATAGACAGTTCAATAGAAGTTAGATTTGAACAACAATCTCTAATTTGAATTACTATCATTTTCAGATTGAGACTAATCTTGATTTTCAAATTGGATTATTATCAAAATTCATCTTGATGTTTTTATCATAAGAAATAAAAATGTAAATTGACAAATAAAATATATTTGATTAAAATATATAATAAATATATCAGCATGTAACACTAAGGTTTAAAGAGAAGTTCATTCGAGATGAAAACATAAATTTTGAAAATGATACATACCAACAATTATTCTACTTTCTCTTATAGAGCTCTTGCCAACAAGTTAAAAGAGACAAAATTTCATCCCCACCATCCATTTCACTTATAGTGTATGGATGACGTGACGGATGTTGAGGTTAACTCTAGTTAAGGAATAACCTCGAACGGTTGTCTGGACTGAGGATAAATACCTCGGGTTTCACCTTGTACAGGGTCTTCTTTTGTGACAAGATTTGAAGTAAATCTTGTGTTCTTGGTGGACGTAGCCCTCTACACGAGGATGAATCACGTTATATTGGTGTTCGTGTAATTTTCATGTTTTACCGAGACAAATGATATCAAAGCCGGTTTTTGGTTCGGATCTCTAGTCATTAAATGATTTTCTGATACGCGAGGACAAAAACAATTTTTTGTTCTCGATGATTTTTGTTTTTGACTTACCAACACAATGGCTAATTCCTCTTGTTGTGTCGTGTGATAATTTTGTTCAGCAACCTCCGGGCTAATTTTCATTCAGTTTTATTTCAGATGGCTTTGAGATAATTCATCATGGTTCTAGAAGGCTAGGATTTCTACACATCATCATATGCCAAACAACCTCTCACACATTCTCTCAATGCATCATTCATATTCACAAACATATCGACACTCCAAGATGTTGAAAAATGTCACTCTTTCATATTTGAAACAAGTCTCTACACATGAACTCTTTAAGCTTGCTTGAGATTTTCTTCACTTTATATAAAAAGTTTCTTTTTATATATAGTATTTGAAAATTTACCATAATAACAAATGATAATTCTTATCTAACTTACTTTTACAAAGATAAATCATAATAAGTTTGACTAGATATCAATATGTGGCAAAATGACATTGGCCTACTAAAACTTCTATATATTTAATGATCCCTAGATAAAGTTGGCGACATGTCATTTGTGACTTTCCAACTTGTAGAAGTTCCACTTGACACTAAATCAATATGAGACTTAGTCTAATCAATAAAGTTCTCATTATTTAGTCAAATCAATCAAAATTAAACATGAAATTAAAATATTTTTTCTTTTGAAATCTAGACTTTTGTACAAGATAAAATAGAAAATCTCATTCAATACTTATAGAACTTGTCTAATTATTCCATAAAGTATAGACATAATAGCTAAACATAGTTATGTATTAATTATAAATTTAGTTAGACTTAGTTATAACCCAGCTAATCATAATCAACTCCTTGTCAATTAATAATATTATTTCACACATATAACATCTGGTCTTAAAGAACTTCCGCTCCTCCTCGAATCAATTCATTATTTGCATAAACTTCTTGCAAATTTGAAACTTAAATCTTAAATCAAAGCCTTATCTACGTCGAAGATTTTCCAACTCTATCGATGTAGGGCTAGATGGATTTTGCAAATTGTTTGTTGGTTCACCGTGTGTGACACTATTAGCATCCAAAATTTGTTGAACAATTGCGATTGCTTTTTTCACTGTGTATGGATTTCATACCATCACTTTCTTTTGAATTTGATTCTTCAAGCCTCATTTGAACACGTACAAGGCGTCTGTTCCACTCATATTCATGATAGATACTTGAAGGTCACAAAATTTTTCAATTTATTCATGAATAAATCTTTTTGCTTCAATTTCCACAATTTCATTCTTGCAATTTAAAGAGAAATCATCAGACCTCTCTATATAGGGCTAATTACTTATGTTTTGTATCTCAACAAAATAAGGAACATTTTCAAAACAAAATACAAACCTACGGAACATGACATAAATCTGTCATGTTTTCTTTGATAAATTTCAAATTTGACAACAGTGTAATATACCTTCAAGAGAAATG